GGGTCCCCGGCCCCCGCGCCGCCCCCCGGGCCTCACCGAGGACGCCGTGGCCTCGCCGAGGACGCCGGCCACCTCCCGGATGTGGGCGTTGTCGGTGAAGATGGCCTGGCCCCCGGAGCCGTGGGCCAGGTCAACGTAGAGGTCGAAGCGGTCGGCCGCCAGCACCTCCCGCCTCGCCCGCTGCCTGGAGGGGTCCTCCGTGATCAGGAACGTCACCTCGCGGGGCAAAACCGAGAGCGTGAGGCAGCGGCGGTGCTGCGGTGGGTTGCTGCGTTATTGTAGGGCCTACTCTAAGGCCTGGCATGGGTTTAGATTGTTATTGTGGGGTGGTTTGTTATTGTAGGGCCTACTGAAAGCATGGTTTGTTACTGAAATCTTTAGTGGGGTGGTTCATTATCATAGGGTCTACTCTAAGGACTGGCATGGGTTTAGATTGTTACTGTATGGTTAATCCTTGGTGGGGTGGTTTGTTATTGTAGGGCCTACTGAAAGCATGGTTTGTTGTTTAAATCTTTAGTGGGGTGGTTTGCTATCGTAGGGCCTACTCTTAAGGACTGGCATGGTTTTAGATTGTTATTGTGGGGTGGTTCGTTATCGTAGGGCCTACTGAAAGCACTGGATGGTGTTGGTTTGTCACTGTAGGGCCTACTCAAAGCATGGTTTGTTACTGAAATCTTTAGTGGGGTGGTTCGTTATCGTAGGGCCTACTCTAAGGACTGGCATGGGTTTAGATTGTTACTGTATGGTTAATCCTTGGTGGGGTAGTTTGTTATTGTAGGGCCTACTCAAAGCTCTGGATTGTTTTGGATTGTCATTGTAGAGGACCTGCTCAAAGCACTGGGATGGTTTTCATTTGTTATTGTAGGGCCTACGCTAAGCACTGGAACGGTTTTGGTTTGTTATTGTAGGGCCTACTCGAAGCATGATTTGTTAATACATCTTTAGTGGGGTGGTGTGTTATTGTAGGGCCTAGTGAAAGCTCTGGTGTTTGTTTTGGCACAGGCATGGTTTTGGTTTGTTAGTGTAGGGCCTACTCAAAGTACTAACGTGGTTATGGTTCGCTATTTAACCCAGGATGAATTCGAGTGCGTGTTATATCCGGGCCTAAAAAACCCGCTTTTGTCCTTGTGGTTCCCTGTGGCAAGGCAGGTTTGTTATGGTAGGGCCTACCAAAAGCGCTCTCCTTGTTTCGATTTCTCACGTTTCTCCGCGAGGACGGTTTGTTATTGCAGGGCCTCCCACAAGTCCGGCGTCGCGTCGCTGTATCGTTTCCCCTT